CCCAATGACAAGAACATTAAAGTTGTTCTCCTCCCAGGTTCCTTATTTACCTGGTCACTCTCATTGCCTTGACAAGCTCATGTGCTAACAACTTTAACCCTGACATAGAACCCTCTTCAACTGTGTATACCTATCGATTCAAAAACATATTTTATTCAACACATAACAAACTTGTTGTACACATAACTAAATTTAATCAACACAAAAATGAGTTTTTGCTGTACACCTACCTAAAAATTTAATCAATCTAACAAGCTTTATCTGTAGTAAATGTTTTTTGGTGGACACCAATTACAAATTCCTAGCTATATTATATCTTTTTACATTATCCTCTTCCAAAAATTTTGGTTTTGATGCCCGTTGTTTCATAGTAACTTTTTCAGGTAGAGGAGCTGTTGAACCTTCGAACTTAAGTCCTCGATCCACCATTTCATCCACTTAGAAGGTCATTTTTCATGTATTTATTTAGCAAATCAACTAGAAAATTTACTACTTTCTTACCTCGTCCACAAACCCATTATGTGGGTATGATTATCAAGGAAACTGTCCCAGTTTCTCGTGTCATCCTCCTCCAACCCATCAACTAAGTTCATCACTGGTTTTTTACTTGCAGACCCACCAATGTCAGCGTCATCAGTTCTATCAATATTGTTATATCGTCATTTTTTGGAAATCCCACCCATTAAATCATCAGGATTGTTGGGCTTGGGTTTTTTGCCTTCCTCTTTGCTTTGCGGAACCGTGAATGTGCCTCCTGCATTATCTGGATGGCCACACCTTACGTTGGGATGTATCCAGTTATAAATTTCATCCCGCAATCTTTATAACTGTGATTTCACCTCTTGTTGGATCCAGTCTTTCAACTCTTTGTTGTTATCTTCTTTGTTTCTTGAATCATGCTCTTTACTAAGATCCAGCCTAGGACGAGATGGTCCACGCGGCGACTGACTCGAACTAGCAGGTTCATAACAATGTTTGTGAAACCCCTAGTGGATTTTCCACATGGTTTTTGAACACCTTTCACCTAAACCTTTGTAGTGGGTTTGATAGGTGGAAAGGTTGAATCACCACCGCTGAAATCTGTTGCTTTGAAGTTGTGGCCTTCCCGCATAAGACTAACTAAATGAGAAACTCAGGGGTCTTCTATTTCTTCCTCCCACTTTGGATCCCCACCTTCATCTGGGAGTGAAAATAATACAGCAACCTAACAACATTGAAAGTGAATGATAAAGAAGTTGTCAACAGTTTTTTCAACTGACTTGTGCAAATTATAAAGGCGCGTATAATGTACGTATCTCAGAATCAGTTTTAACTTGAACGATGTCTTCAAAGATAAGAAGTGTATTTGTTGAGTTGAATCTGTCGGGATCTTACAAGAAAGTTGTCTTCTTATTAGCTTCCGTAATTTTTTGGTAACAAAGCAAGATGGCTTTGAAAGACATCAATTGCAGCGCCAAAGGGAAACCATAGCATGAATTTGTTTTTTGATTCAGACGTTTCCGCATTATCCCTAGGGATTTACCAACTTCAGAAGGCGAAGCAGGTTCAGGTGGTATCAATCAAGACAAAGTGCTGAGGAATGCCTCTTTTCCCCAACGATATTGAAGAAATGATTCGGTGTCTCCAAGCATTTCAACATACGCCAGCGTGTATCAGAGATGTTTATGACCACAGACTAGCAGAGCATCAACAACCGCAATGAGCACTAATGGCAGACGCTTCCACTAAGGAAGATTTGATTGTTCAAGCATTCTGAGAACTTCTGTTACAGTAACGTCTACATCTTCAGTCTCAAACCGCTCTTTCCACAAACGACCACCAGCTGTAACGTCTCCTGACGGTACATGGTTTTCAGCTTTTTCTACAAAAGGGACGGATTTCAAGCCCGTGATGTCACAAAATTTACGGAGGGAAAACCGTAGTTGGGTATCTGCAAATAAGAACCACAACTCATATCTTAGAGGCGTCACCTGTTGACGGCTGAGGAGAGAATGTACGAATTTAGGAAAATTTGGGCAGCGCGAGACTGGATAGTGGAACAAAGCTCCAAAGTGACTTCCCAGCAGAGTGTTCAGTTCTGGTGTGCCTCAAAGAGACTTCACTAACGATCCTATGATTGTTGATTTTGAATAGATGTTGAGACGTGGTTTACTTGGATGGCAATTATGCGTGAAAAGTTTATTCGGGAAGATTGAAAGAGATGCCACAATAATCTCTGTGTGGGACGATGTTCCGATAAACTTTGGGTCCAGAGGCATTCCCTCTACCTCGGTTGATGTAATGTATTCTGAAATCCAATAAGCAAAAGAGATCTTTCAAAAACCCACTAGCGGAAATTTTGACTATGATGGTGAAGAATAACTTTCCCTGCATATCGCGGTGGAGGTTTAACAGTCGATGTTAATTTTTGGGGTTTCAATTGAACGCCAGCTTGACTCCGAGTGACCCTCTTCGAGGCTTTATGACTATGCAATTGATAAACAACGAAGCAACATTAAATTTCACCAAGAATTGAATTTGTTGAATAAATAATATTCCAATTAACTATGAATGTCTTCAATTCTTCTCAATTTGTTCTAACGCTTTTCTGGGTAGTAATCTCAACTTTAGCTAGGTCGATTGTAAATGGTCGATCTGAATTGATTACGGGATTTTCCCTTATTTCATTGAATTATATATGTGTTACAATATAATTTTTCAATCTCTTTTATTTTATAAAAATTGAATGATTTAATTGTAATCAAATTATGATTTTTTTTTTAATTTAGAATGGTAAAGGTGTAAGTAATTTTACTGACAAAGATGTAAAAATACATATAGATATAAGTTTACATAGACAAGTCTGTAAAGTTGCTCAATTGGCAAATTTAAATTTGAGATCACCCAACCAGTAAATTACAAACTTAAAAGTCGCTCAATTCGCTAATTTAGAACATGATGTGAACTTTTTTTTATGTTTTATATAAGGATTTTTAGTAATTTAAACCCTCAACTAAAGATTAATCGTAAAACAAACCCTCAACTAAAAATCTTGTGAAATAAACCCTCATCTTTATGTTCGTTAATGTTTTCGCCCCTCCGTGACTTTTGTCGTCAACTTCTGACGAAGAAACGTTAAATGTTGACGAAAAGGTTACGGAGGGGCGAAAACATTAATGGACATAAAGATGAGGGTTTATTTCACAGGATTTTTAGTTGAGGGTTTATTTCACATGATTTTTAGTTGAGGGTTTGTTTTACGATATATCTTTGGTTGGGGGTTTAATTACTAAAAATCCTTTTTTTTTTTTGAAAAAATCCTATAAGTATTGATTATTTAGTGATTTTAGGACCGGTTTTACTGTTAATACAAACTCACTTTTTTGTCAATGAGACCTCGCATTCCTTCGGTAAATCTAACTTGTAGCTATTCTTGTTTTCATGTTTGCTCTTTCACAAAAAAAAAAAAACTTGTTTTTGAGATTAATGTTTGGTTTAGGTTTTGCATTAGTCAATTCATACAAAGGAACAACCTAAGATCGGAGTTTAAAATTCAGGTATCCAATCTTCATTTTGGTGAGGAATCCACATTAGCTCAGACAACAAATTATGTAGACCAATCTCCGTCAATTCGTTCTTTTTTCTCTAACAAATCATCTCAGTATCTCAATGCTATGGTAAAACCTACGTCAGCGTGTTCATCTTTCAGTGGTCGTCCTATAAGGACATCGACTTTAATGCCATTTTCAGTGGCTACATCACTCAAACCAGTCACTCATGCATTTCCATCTGACCCACCAACCAATCTTAGAAAAAACAAAAGATAACTAAAATATAACTTGTCCTAATTTAAGTTATAGATATGTTAGAAGCGTTCACTGAACCACCATTCTACACATTAACTGTGGTATTATTTCTGTATTTATTTATGTTTATGTTAAAATTAGTAAGTTCTCTTTTAGCATTGAGAAACTGAGATGATTTGTTAGAGAAGAAAGAACGAATTGACAGAGATTGGTCCACTTAATTTGTTGTCTGAACTAATGTGGATTCCTCACCAAAATGAAGATCGGATACATGAATTTTAAACTTCGGTCTTAGGTTGTTCCTTTGTACGAATTGACTAATGCAAAACCTAAACCAAACATTAATCTCAAAACAAGTTTTTTTTTTTGTGAAAGAGCGAACATGAAAACAAGAATAGCTACAAGTTAGATTTACCCTCCTTCGAGGTCTCACTGACAAAGAAAAGTGAGTTTGTTTTAACAATAAAATCGGTCATAAAATTACTAAATAATCAATACTTATAGGATTTTCTCAAAAAAAAGGATTTTTAATAATTTAAACCCTCAACTAAAGATAAATCGTAAAACAAACCCTCAACTAAAAATTCTGTGAAATAAACCCTCAACTAAAAATTCTGTGAAATAAACCCTATCTTTATGTCCATTAATGTTTTTGCCCCTCCATAACCTTTTCGTCAACAGTTAACGTTTCTCCGTCAAAAGTTGACGACAAAAGTTACGGAGGGGCGAAAACATTAACAGACACAAAGATGAGGGTTTATTTTACAAGATTTTTAGTTGAGGGTTTATTTTATGATTAATCTTTAGTTGAGGGTTTAAATTACTAAAATAGTTCAAATGATGGGCCAAGCCCATTAAATATTTGTCGTCCAGTACGTTCGCTTATGGTACGTTAATCTCCGTCTCTCTCACACCTCAGTTCATCTCTTCCCTGCAGCTTATGGTTTAGGGTTTCCACAGTCGCCATGTATCGCACTGCAGCTTCACGGGCTAGGTCTTTCAAGGTTTGTTACCTCTCCTTTCTTTGATTCTCTCTTGCTCGCTTATGGGACGTTCGAATGTGGAAGCGATTTTACTTATTCGCTCCCACATCCTCGGAATATCAATAGATCTGAATTTGGATTGTTCTTATTCCGATTGCGATTGAAAGCACTGTTATTACTGCTTAGTTTTTTTTATGAGTGATCGAGTCTTTTGACTTTTGATTAAAGTGAAATGGATTTGCCTCAGTTGTTGTAAATTAGCCGACTCATTCCTCGAGTTTCCATTGATTGATTTTTGTTCTATAATAAGGATCTCTTAGCCGGAGTTTGAGACATGCGCGTTATGCAAGTTCTAGTGCTGTTGCGACTAGTTCTTCTTCTCCAGGTTTCTTCAGCTGGTTGACTGGTGGATCCTCTACTTCGCTTACTTCATTGGACATGCCACTCAATGGTGTATCCCTTCCTCTGCCTCTTGCTGACCACGTTGAGCCAAGCAAACTTAAGATCATTACTCTTCCTAATGGTCTCAAAATCGCCTCTGAGATGTCTCCCGTAAGTCAAAAAGCTTATGTTATGTCCTCAGGTAATCTATTAAAATGAACTGAAAAAAAGTTATTATCTTGGTGGTTCAGCATCCGGCAGCTTCCATTGGTTTGTATGTTGATTGTGGTTCTATCTACGAAGCTCCTTATTTCCATGGAGCAACCCATTTGCTTGAGAGGATGGCTTTCAAGAGCACCAGTAACATATGATTACATCCTTGAATGCAGAGTCCCGAGTTTACTGAAAAAAGCAATTGAATTAGCAGCTAAAGAATTGAAAGATGTTGCCGGAGGAAAAGGTTTGCAGTTTGCTTCATCCTTTTTCACTTGACATTCAAAACCATTTTCTACATGTAGAACTTTACCCTTTGTTATATGTTTGACAGTTAACCAGAAGCATCTTGATCGCGCCAAGGCAGCCACAAAATCTGCAGTTCTGATGAATTTGGAATCTCGGTACTCTCACTAAGATAAAATCCTTTTGCTTGGACAAGCATATTAGCATTTCGTTATTTCGAGACTCAAATAATTAGATGTTACTTACGAGTAATTTGTGTCTTGTGCAGATGATTGCAGCAGAAGATATTGGCAGGCAGATACTTACATACAGAGAGAGGTACAGAGAAAATATAATTTAGAAATTATTCACTTGATCTTAAGAGTTTTGTTCTTCTTGCGTATCAGTGTTTTATATGAAAATATTCTTGCAGGAAACCAGTTAAGCAATTCTTGAAGACAGTAGATGGATTTACCTTGAAAGACATTACAGATTTCACCAGCAAGATTATCTCAAAGCCCTTGACAATGGGTTCCTTCGGAGATGGTAAACAAGTTTTCACCTTTACGTATTGATTTTGCATATATGCTTTTTAATGTCATAGAAATAAAAACAAAGATCTGGTGTCTTAAAAGTAGCGTCTGGTTCTTTTTTGGGCAGTGTTGTCTGTTCCTAGCTACGACACCGTAAGCAACAACTTTTCTTAAAGCGGCAAACAATTTTGCAGCGATATTTTGGGACTTGTGTGAAATAAAGAAGGGTCTTTGGGAGAAAAAGAAGACTAGACCAATTTTAGTTTCTTTTTACGAAATGGATTTTGTTGCTATATACAGTTGAAAAGGCTGACTTTTTCGTGTATGTCTCTCCAAATTTGAAGAAGTATTTGTATTCCAATAAGTATTATTTGCTAACTTCAAGCAGACAATTTGTACTTACTTGGATCTACCAAATGATAAGAATGCCTCTGAGATTCAATCATAAACATCTCTGTCTCGTTTGTATGTTGCCTCACCCCTCACCACCCAGCCCCCACATGCTATTTCTGTTTGGGGGCTAATTTTCTTTGTGTATCTGATAAGACAAATGGATGATTCCTTCATTGTATTGATAAAGTCTAATTAGAAGAGGATCTTTCTAACAGGATGTCATTTTTACGTTAGAAGTTCAATTCTTTTTTACTGGTTGGAACAGAATAAGCATGTGAATATGAATTGGCCTACCATATTTGGTCCTAGTAGCTAGGGAAACAATGGTGACGGTTGGCCGTAATTTGTGTCAAGGAGAAGCTAACAGTAAAGACGGACTTGTTTATACCTATGGTTGTTGATCTATAACTCTTGTTCTATATCTAAAAGAGACAAAACGTTAAATCCCCCTCTCTGAAGAAAGAACTCCAGTAAAATAACCAAATGCTTTTTTTTCTGTGCGAAAAATAATCAAATGCTTAAAACAGTTTTTTTATTCTATTCTTGTATTCGCACGTTTATTTGTTGGTTTATCAAACTTGGAATATATGTCATTTGAAGAACTAGTGGAATGATCACACCTCGAACCGTTTCAGGTTCTAGTTCAGAAGTAGAGATCCCTGAGCCGACGAATATAGCATAGATGGATTGTTTGATAAACTTCAAGACTTGATCTGGTAGAAGATTATGAGTGGACTCGTAAGCTGCTACACTCGTGACGCAAAGAAGTGAAAACTGGGAATAAGTGGACAAGAAGCAATTATAGGCCCATTTACGCCAACCCAGGCCCATTTAAAATAAAAACGTCATCTACAATGAGGTTTCCTACTCGAGAGAAGTCGTTTCCTTCTCCGCCGCAAACATGAGGCCTCTTCGCCGGCGTTTCTTTATCCCCGTCAATGTAATTTCCATATCCAACCGGCGTAGATACGCCACCAAGTATGTCGCCAAGGTCACTTCATCATCTCCCTCTGGCCGATCAGTCTCCGCCGAAGTTTCCCTTCCTAATCCCCTCCCGGCCGACGTACGTGGCTACCCTCTTCCTCGCCGAGATCTCATCTGCCGAGTAACCAATCTCCTTCTCCGCCACGTAACCTCTTCTAATCTCTCCGATGCTTTCTCCGACCTCTCTGATTACTTCTCCTCCCTCTCACTCTCCCTCACTCCCGACGAAGCTTCAGAGATTCTCAAATCCCTAAACTGCCCTCGCCTTGCCGTCGCGTTCTTCCACTTCGTCCCCTCCGTGTGCCCTAGCTCTTACCACGACCCGTTCCTCTACAACCGCATCATCTTAATCCTTTCCAAATCTAACCTCCCCGACAGATTCGATCGCGTCCGTTCGATTCTCGATCTGATGGTGAAGACTAACGTACGTGGCAACATCTCCACCGTTAATATCTTAATCGGTTTCTTCGGGAATGCGGAAGATTTACAGACGTGCTTAGGGTTGGTGAAGAAGTGGGAGTTAAAGATGAACTCTTTCACCTACAAGTGTCTCCTTCAAGCTTACTTAAGGTCTCGTGATTCTTTAAAGGCATTCGATGTGTATTGCGAGATTAGGAGAGGAGGGCTTAAGCTCGACGTCTTCGCTTACAATATGCTAATTGATGCTTTAGCTAAAGATGAAAAGGTACTTTTAGTAAAATGTAGTGAGAAATGGAATGATGAACATAAAAAGTAAAATATTACTCTTTTTTCAACTCCATTTTAGAGTAAATTATAGAGTGGGGATGGAGATGCTGCCTAAGTTGAGTTTCACGTAGGCCTGGGCGTTCCGTTTTCTGTTTTTCTTTCGGGTTTATGGGAATATAGCAATCGTTTGGGGGTTTTATAAATTTCAATTTGATTTCGGTTAGTTTCTAGTAAATGTATTGGGAACTGGCTTGTACCCAAAAAAAAATAGAGTCGTTTGGTTCTTATTTTTTTTTAGTAATTTCGGATAATTCCAAAAAAGATTAGGTGATTCGAGGCTTTAGATAAACTCTCGTCTAATTTAAGATGTTTGAATTTAAATATGAGTAATTTGGATAAATACATATAACTTGAATAAAAATTCTCTGGTAATTTGGTCTTTTTAAAAAACAATTTGGTTTATATATTGATATTTTACATATATAGTTATTTTAAAACTTGTTGACAAAAATAAATAGTTATTTTAAAAGTTAAAAAAAAAGTAAATATAACTAATGTTTTTAGATATATGAATTGTATTTGGATATTTGGGTAGCTGTTTGGTTTCCATTTCCAAGTTTTCTTTTTGGGTTTAAAGAAATAGGAATTGGTCGCGGTTTTTGTGAGTTTTGGTCTTGTTTTGATTGGTTTTGGATAAAATGCCCAACTTTGTTTCATGTATAAAGGTAAAATGTAAAATGTACTTCCTTTTTGTCAGATTGATCAGACTTGTCAAGTTTTCGAAGACATGAAGAAAAAGCATTGTAGAAGAGATGAGTATTCCTACACGATCATGATCAGGACAATGGGAAGGCTTGGGAAATATAACGAAGCTGTTACTCTGTTCAATAAGATGATAATTGAAGGACTTACTCTTAACGTGGTTGGTTACAATACTCTTATGCAAGTTCTTGCAAAAGGCAAGATGGTTGATAAGGCTATTCAGGTTTTCTCCAGGATGGTTGAAACGGGTTGTCGACCAAATGAGTATACGTACAGTCTGGTTTTGAATCTTTTAGTAGCTGAAGGTCAGCTTGTAAAGTTGGATGCGATTGTGGAGATGTCCAAGAGGTATATGACTCAGGGGATTTACTCTTATTTGGTTAGAACGCTGAGTAAACTAGGGCATGTAAGTGAGGCTCACCGACTGTTTTGTGATATGTGGAGCTTCCCTGTGAAGGGAGAGAGAGATAGTTACATGTCGATGCTAGAGAGTTTATGCGGTGCGGGTAAAACAGTTGAAGCCATAGAGATGTTGAGCAAGATTCATGAGAAAGGTGTGATTACAGATACTATGATGTACAACACTGTCTTCTCTGCGCTTGGGAAGCAAAAGCAAGTATCTCATATTCATGATCTATTTGAAAAAATGAAAAAGG